CCCCATCTCCTTGCAGATGGCTCTTTTTGTCCCACTTGGCTCATGGCTCCACTCAGTCTCCCCTCCCTTTGTCCTGCTCTTCAGCCAAACTGTGGAGAAACCCCCTTATTGATGAATACAGAAACTTGAGCATTCCGCTCAATAACATTGCTGTTTTTTGATGACATGTACTTGATGAGGGCAAAAAAGTATGTTCTGTGATCCTGCAGAAGCTTGAATGCATGCTTAGCTTCAGGAGGTGACTGTGTGTTTGCAAAATCTCTGCCTTTCTTTGCTTTTAATTGCGCATTGCTGTGAGTGAATGGTGTAGCTCTTAAATCCTGAGGCTTGCCTATGTGTGTGTTACTGGGAATTGTTGGTAAACTTAGTGGCCAGTGCTACTTCAGGATGCTATTTTGAATGTTCCTGTGTTGTATAAAGCTATTGCTGATATAGAACTTAACATACTGTTACTAGTGCTTCCTACTTGCGTCCTGTAGAATAACGTTTTCACTTGTCTAGCTCCATGCTGCTTGTGCCAACGCGTCTCATTTAGTAAAATGTCTTAATGCCTCATGTAGTGAACTAGCAAAACTGTGCTGGGATTACTTGTGGGCACTAACCCCTGCTGCGTTGCACACCTCAGGGAAACTTGGCTCCTTTTTATTGAAACTATAGTCCTCATCTGTTGCAGTAAATATCTTTCTGTCTTCAAATTTGAGTGTTATGTTTTCGCACAGAAACTTTGAATAGCCCAGTAAGTTGAACGTAGCAGTTCCTGGCAATGAAAAATGTTCCTGCAAACTCAGATTCTGTATGTGTTTTAAAAGGGTGGACCTGAACCTGCTTTCCTTAAGAGCCTCCCTGCTGCTCCCTTCCCGCCTCAAGCACATAAGGACCTTGTGAGCCTCTCGCCTAGTGCCGGCTGGCCCGGGCGCTGCCTGGGATGCTGCCATGTGCTGGGATTCTGAGTGGAGCTCTGAAATGTGTAAGCGGTTACGAGCTCTGCCTAAGCTAAATAGTGGCTACGTTTGTGAGACGGAGGAACCGCTGGGTCCAAAGGAGCTTCCAGCTAACCGAGAATCCTGTCCCCAAATCTGGTAAACAGGGAAAACGCTGTCATCGGGAATGTAGCTTTCCCGGGACAGGGCTTTTCCTTTGCACTCCTGAGTGCCGCTCCTGTGATTCTCATCTCTGTGAAAATCCCTTGGGTTCACAGCCACAGAACAGGCAGCAGGTGCTTGCAGTGAGCGTGGACTACAGCAAGCAGCACAGGGCTGTAAGGTTAGTCCCTGAGACCCCTTTCCAGCTTTGGGTCTTTCATAGCTTAAGAAGAAATTCTTGAGTCACGAGTGATATCTGACATCCAGTAATTTTTGATTCATATTTATTTATTTATTAAATTATGCAGCCTCTGCAGAATCCACAGCGTCTTGTGGCAGGAGGCTCTATGCCTTAGCATTATGATAGGAAGCAATAGCTGCCATTGCTTTTTCTTGGCACCTGCCAACTTTGCCTGATGCTCAGCAGCTGTCACGCTGCAAGAGGCAACAGATAAGTTGCTGCAGTGGTGTAACTCAACCTTTGGAAAGAGAAGGTCCTAAACAAACTAACCTTTGGATAAGATAACGCCTTGTGTGAGTCCTGTTTGGAGTTTTTGCTTTTGTTTTCCAGTTGTGTTTCAGAGGATGCTTTCACCAAACGACAATAGTGTACAACTTAGTGTAGAACTATTACTTTGTGCTTTGCAAGAAAACAGAGACTTACAGTTTTTTGAGAATCCAAACTTTCCTGACATGTTTTAAGAAAAACGGAAGCCTAAACTTAATGCCATGCCATACTGTACTTTGAGGGTTTTTTTCCTGTGTTCAGAGACTGAAAGTGCTCTTAACTCTTTTCTTCTACACTAGGAGGCAAGTGAAGCCTACTTGGTTGGCCTGTTTGAAGACACCAACCTGTGTGCTATCCATGCCAAACGTGTCACAATCATGCCAAAAGATATCCAGCTAGCACGCCGCATACGTGGAGAGCGGGCCTGAGCTTCACTCTGATGGGTTTGTCATTCTCGAAGCAAAATCTTCTTCCTGTTATTGGTAGTAATGAACATTAGATACTTCTTCCATGGGGTTAAAAGGTACCTAAGTATATGGTTGCAAATGGAAAAATAGGGGGCAGAATTGGATATTGGCAATTTTTTTTTTTCCATTTTCATTTGTGTGTGGATTTTTAATATAAATAAGGGGACATAAAGCATTAATGCGGTCAAAAAAAGAGAAAATGTTTCAGCAATTCAACTTTATAAAAAAGATATAAATCTGTCAATTTTTTTCTGGACAATGCCAGCATTTGGATTTTTTTAAACAAGTAAATTTCTTATCAATGGCAACTAAATGGTATTTGTAGCGTTTTTATCATACAGTAGATTCCATCCATTCACTATACTTTTCTAACTGAGTTGTCCTACATGCAAGTACATGTTTTTAATGTTGTCTGTCTTCTGTGCTGTTCCTGTAAGTTTGCTATTAAAATACATTAAATGATCCTTGCTTTTAGTCTCAATTTTTTAATATTTCATGTGGGTTCTCTTGGATTAAAAATAATCAACCTGTATATGGACTTCTGGATAGATCTTCTTTCCTCTTTCCTTTTTCTCATCAGTATGAGGCCTAAGTACAGCAGATTTATGAAGCAAACATTGGGGGTATTACCTTGGCTGAAGTAGCATATTTGAGTGTCTTTTAAAAGCATAAATCTTTTGTCCTCTCCACATAAAGGCAGGTTTGGCAGGCTTATATAAGTGGGCAAAAGGTCTGGAGCTGGCCTGAGCTCTCTAACTTTACCATGCTTTTTAGCAAAAGCAATTTTGTTGCAATATATTGTTCTCTTAAGTTAATGCTGAATTTGGAAGTGTTTCTAATTTTCATGATTCATTAGCCTGGGCTGGGTAAGTTCTTGGGGTTATTTTGTTCTGTTGTTTTAAGCCTCATGCACTCTCCTAACTTTATTAGTAAGTTTTATTCCTTCTCTTTTAGTAATGTCTTCTAGTGAATTTGAGCACTTAGTCCAAGTACACTGTGATAAAGAAGACACTTTTGTAACCATTTTTCTGTTGCAAGGCTTCGCAGAAACAAATACATGCACAGCAACATACACTTGAAACTTGGTGTGTGTGTGTGTGATAGAAAGGTCCCCTAGAGAAGTTCACTGCTGAAATTATTCTGTGAATAATTTTAAATTTTAAATTTGCACCTGAGACAGGTTTAAGGTTTCTGGTGGACAGCAGTAGTGGTGTATTTTTCAATTGCTGCTCTAGATAATGAGTTACAGAGAAGTTACCCAGGCAATGCACGGATTCCACCTCTGTGCCAAGAGCTCCACAATGCGTTTTTGTTGCTGACTTCTTTCAAGACATTCTGGCTGAGCCCAAAATACAAGGCTGAATTTGTCTGAAGATTACCAAAGAGGATTAATAGAGATGTACTAGGTACTTCGGTATCTTGAATAGAGAGCCCAAACTTATGGGATAAATCACATTATTCATAACTTGTTCAGCTCTGGTAATGAATGCTGTCTGCCAGGATTGTGCCAAGTAATTTTAATGGAGTGGCTTGTCACAGGGAAAACTAATACCAGGCAAAATGTGGCCATTCTCTGCTGATGCCAATGATCATACCTGTGAACTAAACAAGAAGGAAAGTATGTCTTGGAGCATCCAGAGCAACACAACTGTAAAAAAGTGAGCAAAACACTTAACTGATTTGAGATGTCACTTCGGTTTACATGGTAACAGTCCTATTAAACTTGATGAATTGTAAATGTATTTCAGCTTAGTGTTTTCAGATATTAACTACTTATGTACTTCAGAATTGCTCTTATGTATCAATCAATAATGCTGCAGCCACCTTCACAAAAAGGTAGTTAGGCTGATTATTTCTTAATTACATGACCTGAAATATTGATAAAGAAGGAACTTATTTTTTTCTTATATTAGAAAAACAAATTTAGAAATTCTGGTAGTCATATGAAATATTAATAAGCTTTTTCTCTTAAAAGAGAGAATTGAGATTAGAGATAGGTGGACAGTGGAGAAAAAGCAGAAAAATCATAATGGAAGTTCAAAGATTTAGGAATCTTGCACAGTTCATGGTTAGCATTTAAGTGTGCCATGCTACATTCACAACTTAGCTGTGAATTTGCCTCTTTGGGAGTGTGGATTATGCCAGTTATGCTAGAGATATCATGTGAATTCCGGTATTGATTAGCTGTCTGTGTCTGTATTGATATCAGATGTCTTTTTGTGGTTTTATTCCAATGGATTTTAGGGTACCACCTCTCTGCTCCTGGTTTCTATCATGGATGCTATCTAGATATTGTTATTGGAAGGAGGAAAGTACAAAAGGCAATGCAGTGTTTTTCAATTTATTTAACTTTATGAGTATTTATACATTTTAAATTTTATTTGAATTAATAAGTTATTTGAGATGATTAATTGAGAGCTGTCACAGTGACAGTTCCTGTGCAAGGCCTGGGAGTCAGTCAAAGGCAGATTCAGCAACACAGAGCGAGGCAAAAAAAGGTAGCAGTTAGCAATGAACACAGCAGGGGGAGATGGAACAAAGTCAAAGCCCTGTGGAGTTCCTGTTTACTGAACTTTTTAGTTGTGTGGTGGTATTCCTACAAAAAGGCTCTTGGACCGTGGTGGAACAACAGGAGGACTGACTAATGCTCAAGATCTACAGTTAGGACATGCATGGATCATTAGAAACAGCAGTTATTCACTCACCTGGTCAAAGATACACCTGGGATTATGAATGCCGTATGGGGTGGCAAATAACAGTTGAGTCTGTTACAAACTATTGTTCCTTATATGTTCAAGGGTGGAGGTTGTTTGTACAAGGAGCTAACTGAACAGGAGACTGGTGTTTCTGGAGGATGGGGGAGCCTAGTCCTCTTGGATATAAATCATAGAATCATTATGGTTGGAAAAGACCTTCAAGATCATCAAGACCAACTATAAATCCATCACCATCAGGCCTGCTAAACCTGTCCCTAAGTGCCTCATCTACACCTTTCTTCAACACTACCAGGGACGGTGACTCTGCCACTTCCCTGGGCAGCCTGTTCCAATGTTTCACCACTCTTCCTGTGTAGAAGCTCTTAATGCCTAACCTGAACCTCCCCTAGCACAACTTGAGGCCATTTCCTCTTGACCTTTCTGTAGTTATTCTGGAGAAGAGATTGACCCCCACCTCCCTACAACTTCCTTTGAGGTAATTGTAGAGAGCGATAGAGTAATAAGATCTCCAAGCCTCCACTTCTCCAGACTGAATAGCCCAAACTCCCTCAGCCCTTCCTCATAAGGTCTGCTCCACTAGCTTCATTGCGCTTCTTTGGACATGCTTCAGTGCCCAGCTACGCTTCAGTCACCCAGCACCCCCAGATCCTTTTCTGCCGCACAGCCGTCCAGCTGCTCTGCCCCAAGCCTGTGGCACTGCATGGGGTGGTTGTGACTGAAGTGCAGGACCTGGCACTTGGCCTTCTTGAAACTTACACAGTCGGTCTCAGTCCTTCAATCCAGCCTGTCCAGATCCCTCTGCAGAGCTTGCCTACCCACAAGCAGATCAACTCTTCCTCCCAGCTTGGTGTTGTCTGCAAATTTGCTGAGAGTGCACTCAATCCACTCATCCAGATCATCCGCAGAGGAATTAAAGAGGATTGGCCCCAACACTGACCCCTGGGGAACACTGTTCGTGCCCAGTTGCCAGCCGGATTTAACTCCGTTCACCACTACTCTCTGGACCCGGCCATCCAGTTGATTCTTCACCCAGCGAAGGGTCCGCCTATCTAAGCCAAGAGCTGCCAGCTTCTCCAGGAGAAGGCCATGAGAGACTGTGTCAAAGGCCTTACTGAAGTTTAAGTAACTCATGTCCACAGCCTCATCCTCATCCACTACGCAGGTCACCAGAGTTGATCAGATTGGTCAGGCAGGACCTGCCTTTCATGAACCCATGCTGGCTGGGTCTGATCCCCTGGTTGTCATGCACATGCTATGATCACCCTTAAGATGATGTGCTCCATAACTTTACAGGCTGACAGGCCTGTAGTTCCTGGGACCCTCCATCTGAGCCCTCTTGTAGATGGGCATCACATTGGCCAGTCTCCAGTCATCTGGGATCTCACCTGTTGACCAGGACTGCTGATAGGATGTTGAGGGAAGGGTTTCTGCTTGGACTCGATGATCTTGAAGGTCTTTTCTAACCATAATGATTCTATGATCTATGATCCAGCCAGACTCCCCCTGCCAGGCTCCCTTACCAGCTGTGACAAGAAGTTGTCTTCCACATATTCCATCAACCTCCCAGACTGTTCCTCTCTGGTAGGGTGAAAGACCCCTATGAGAACAAGGGCTGATGATCGTGAGACTTCTGCCAGCTGCTTCTAGAATGCCTCATCTGCCTCTCCATCCTGGTTGGGCAGTCTATAGCAGACTCCCACCAGGATATCTGCCTTGTTGGCTTTTCCCCTGATCCTGGCCCATAAACACTCGACTTTTTTTTCCGTCATTTGGAGCTCCATGCAGTTGAAACGCTCCTTAACATAGAGCGCTACCCCACCGCCTTTCCTTCCTTGCTTGTCCGTTTTGAAGAGACTGTAGCCATCCATTGCAGCACCACCGCAGTGGTCCCACCATGTTTTATTCTCTTCCCCCTTCATGCCTAATCTAAATCCCTCTCCATGAGCCCTGCCAACTCCTGGGCTTGGATTCTTTTCCCCCTGCAAGACAGATGAACCCCATCTGTTGCCAGCAGGCCCAGTGCTATATAGACTGCCTCATGGTCAAAAAACAGGACTAACCATGTATGTATTGATTTCTAAGAGCAAGACTGACTTGGAAGTGCAGCACTATCATCAGGGGGAAACTTTCTGGTAATGTTGCCTGATTGTGCCAGGACAATGAGCTACCTGCTTACTGCTCATCTTAACTGATGTAGCCTTCAATTCGGGTTAAATATCCTTCCAGAGAGATATGCTGGCTGCAGAAATCTGGTCACTGGCTGTTGGCATCCAAGCATGTGCTCAGAATACTGACCATTGCCTGGCAGGAGAGTCAAGGTGGGAAAAAGGCAGGTATAGAAAACTCAGAATGGTTTACAAGAGTTTTAATATTACTATTGTAGGACTCAAGATTCTCAAGGGGTGTCAAAATGAAGTGAAAGATTAGAATCTGGCTGTTTCACTTGGAAATGCATTGAAGTGTCAGGCATAATTTCAGTTTTTGAATGTATTCAATTAGGCTGTTACTGTTAAACTGAAAACAGTGCGTACTTAAAAGCAGAGGAAGAAAGTCTGTGTGAGGTGAAGACAGTCAAAAAAGTGACTTCTCCTTTTCTCTGTGCCCCTCCTCCCCCACACAAAAAGAATCCCAAATCTGCTGTGTGATTTTGAATTTAATCGTTGAAGGTTTGTGTAGGACCAAATTTACTAATGGATGTTGTAGGCTTGGTTGTAGCACCTATTTTAAACTGGCAATGTCATTTGTT